CCTCTCCCGAATTCCTTTCAGAACTAACTTTTTGCAGTTAATTGCGAGCGCCGTTAAACGTTTACTAAACGGATCTTACTTTTGCAGTTGAGAGTGCGGGAGTACTCTTATTGAACAGATTATACTTGACCTGCTACGCACATTCGGGATCTCCACTCCCTCTGTGGTTATTTCTATTTTTGGGTTGCTTTGACTTCTTGCGGGGAAGATGCTTTTACCTACTTTTTTATCCTCTGTTGCCGTTAAGCGTCGAGGTATACCTTATCACTATATTAAATAATCGGGTTTTTGAAATTTTGTTTTACCACTAGCGCCTTCAACCGGGAATGTCGTAAATGCCAGTGTACGAACGCTGTGAGCCTGAGATATGTGACAGAAATGTTTTCTAGTGACATGGACCAGAATAACGCGATGAGCTGCTGCTGCTGTTTGCGACACATATTATCATTCTACATAATGTGGTGGTGAGTGGTGAGCCGGGCAGGATATTCGTGTGTGGTGAGCGAGAGAGAGAAAGAGAATCAAAATTGTCTTCCAAACGTCCGTGCGTACGTATTATGTGCGACATGGCGAAGCAGGCGGGGCAAAAACAGACGTTCCTGCGGCGGTCTCGTAGCTTTGCTGGCTACATCTTTGACAGGTGAATTCATAAAATAATATCATTATATTATCCTTGACTTCAGCTGAAACTTTTGTTACATTTTGTTTAGTATTTTGAAATCCTGGTGGGTTTTTTTTTAGTCACTATTGTAGTGTTAAACTTTTTGGTTCGGTTGTTTTGTTTTGTTTTTTTGAGTTTCTTTTTTTGTTTTGTTTTAGATATTCTAAGGTTACGTGTTACGTCCAGTTTGTGCAGCCATAGTGACCAGCTTTCGTCTGGAACTAGATGTTTGCGACAGTAATATTAAAACAATACAAAAGGAGAGAAGTAAAAACCAGTCCCAACCATCTTCTATAAGATACTGAGCAAATACAATGACCGGCCCTAGATAGAGAGAGTAACTTATTCCAGTTTTCAAAAGGAAGGGGGTGGGGGAGGGTGCAAGGAAGGGGGGG